TACTCGTTCGATTGCGATTGAAATGTTCGATTGAATAATCGATTACTAAACTTTAATTGATTGAGCCGAATGTTTTTTTCGAACAGCACTATGCAACCACAGTCAAGTCATAGAAGTATAGATGACCTCACTTTTGGACTACCATTTTTCAAATACGATTTTAGGATGCTATTCAATTTGAATAGCATCGTAAATATTGAATCGAAAAAAAACATCGAAAAAGTGATGATATATCAAGTCGAAATCTTTGAAATATACGTGAAATTGTCACGTATTCGATTTATTGAGTAATTTCTTTAGAATTTTACACAAAGAGGTTTGTTAACTTTTTGTTCAAAATGAATTGGAACAGAGTATACCAAGTATTTAATAATGCTAAATACTTCCGTACACAAATAAATATGAAGACCAAGTGCGGGTAGTTAGATTCTCTCCATTCCCTTCGAGACCATGGACGTTGCAATACGTCCGAAACGTCGAGGTAATTAAAATATGTTTTATACATGATTAAGTCCCGAACTAAAAATCTAACTAAAATTTTAAGGTGAGGAAATGCTTAGTTTTCAAATAAGTATAATTTTATGATTTTTTTTATGATACCGGGGAACGGAACAAGTCGTGCACCTGATGCACAGAAAAAAAGGAATTCTACTAATAAGAAAGAGCAATTTCTCAAAATATTTGCTAATTCTGAAAAAATATTTGTTAAAAGTAATTAAATATTCTCATTACAAAAATACTGCTTATCTTTTTCTAATACAATTTTACTCTTAACTTTATTCTAACTTTTAGACAAATACCTTCACGTCAAGATTTTATTTCATTTCCAAATAAATTAATTAGACATTACTTACATCAAGAAATTTTTACCTCTTACATCAAATTTAATTAATCTCAAATTTATTCAGCATTTCTTGGGTGTATTTTAAGAAAATATATTCCTAAACAAAAAAGAAGTAGTCTGCTATTCAGATTAGTATTCTAAATTCTAGAGTATATTTTTAAAGTAACATTTCGTTGCGTTTTCATAGTCAATGCTGTCGTGACATGTCGTCGAAGGCGCACGCGGTAACGATTACTTTTACTTGTGCTTGTAATCATAAAAATCATAAACAGTCATTTATCCAAAGAAACAATATGTAGTATCGCTAGTTTGTTAAGGTGTTATTTGTAGTCATAATTTAAGAAATTTGGTTTCAGTATGAAATCAAACTACACTTGTAACAAGTACAACTTCAACATATGTACAATTAGTGCAATTAGTTAGAAGGCATTAGTTGTACTCTGAAACGCGCTATCGTTTTGTTAACTTCAATAGTATAAGTCATCTCATATATTTTGAATTATTAGTGCTTTCTGCCGCTATAGCATCTATATGGCACTGAATGGTACTCAAGTATTTGAGAAGATTCCGTCCTATTTCTGCTACTTTAAGGGGTTTGGCACTGAACTGTGTGCTTTCACGCCAGTGAGACATTCTGTTGGGTTCATAACCCTGTAAATTTACCCTTTTTGATATTAGAAAACATAAATCTTCAGTCAAATAATTAAATACCTCTCAGTTTTTCATTCTTTTTTTTTTCAAGTCAAAATCGGACATTTCTAATAACTATTTTGTTGAATCTAGAGTGGCTTTGTGATTTGAAGTAAATTAATTTGCTCTTGGATTAAATATTTCTGTCTTATAACTCAAATACACTTTTGAGACGCTTTTTTTTTACTATTATCAAGTAATTATTCTCTAGCGTCTGTAGGGAGAGGATCGTTTTGTAGGATTTAATAAATTTGTCTTCATAAAAAGAATTTTGTCTTTTTGTAAGTAATCTGTTTTTAACGTGTGGTGAGCGACAAGTCTGTGCATAACAGTTGCAGTGCCACTCAGAGCTTTAAATCGCAAAGATGGAGCACAGCCACTGCGCTCGTCATCCTGATACATAACTTCACAAGTCCCGTGGGCCTATAATTTCAAACCAGCACCCGTACTCTTCAAAACCGATGCTCACATTACTGCTTGGCAGCAGATATAGGTAAGGTGGCAATACTTCCCTGGACGAACTCTTTCACATGTAGCTCTACTGCTACTTGTGAAAGAATATCTTTCCAAAATCCATTCCATTTTGATCGTTCTAATTATTCATTATTAAGAGCTATTTTCGTTGTTCCCATTGTGCTAGTACAGACAATTCCTAAAGTTGAGTAGACAACACTTAATTAGCGTGATTATATTTGGAGCACGAATATTGAATTTTTGCTCAAAGAAAGATACTTCCAGCGTTAGATTAGATGAATTAAAGATATTTTACATTTATGCTTAGTGTGAACTACTGTTATCTCTAACGTTATGTAACATATAGTAACAATGAACAAAACATTCCACAATTACACTTCATCGTAATTCTAAATGGTAATAAAATTCATATTCGAATGACCTTTTTTTATTGCCAAGCAGTCATAAATAGCTATTACCGTCACTACGGAAATGCAATTGTTCATTTAATTTGAATCCTTAACAGTTGCAGTGCCACTTAGAGCTTTAAATCGCAAAGATCTTAGGCCTTATTCAGAGTGGCGGCGGGCGCGGGTGCCAATGTACGTAGACACTCGTTGCGTTCACAGTGGCCGCGGACTGGTACCTACGAAAGCGCTTTCTTTTGCTACCGCACAGAATTAATAATAATAATAATGATAATAATAATAATCATTTATTTCATTTCAAGTTTAGATTTACAGTATTAGTGACTGGAATCTCCTTTTAAGCATAGCAATGCCTGTGTTAGGAGACTCCGCTCTTCTACATCCATATCTGTTTACTACATCTAATTTATAAATTTCTAAATTGTACAGTACAGGTAATTAGAGCAGTTATATTAGTTTTATTATTTTGAAACAGTGGTTGGGTTACATATTTATACAGAGTAGGTTGATGTCTTTAAAATAAATATATATTACATAAATACGAAACATATACAGACATATAAATATATACACATTGTGTCAAATTTAATATATAGTATTTCTTCCGTGTTATATATACAAATAAATGCGGCGAATATTCAATTACTATAAATTTTACTGTGGTTAGAATTGTATTATTTGTAATTGTAAGGTGTAGATTAAAGAAAGAGTTTGTGGTTGTTGTACCTATTAGACTTTACGTTATTGCAAAAATATCTCAACATTCTCATAAGTAAGGGTTTTCAACCATTTCACTAGCAAGCATTTGCACTCATAAATTGTTTTTTTATAAATCTGTAGTTCCGTGTTTACTTTATTATATAGATAGGCCGAGCATCTAGTGTATTGCTTACTGGCAAATACGGTTTTACAGTTGGGAACCAAAGCTACCTTATCTTTCCTCCTTTTATTGTCCACCTTTGCGTCAAATGGTACACGTACAATGGTACAATGGTACATGGTAATGAAATTATCACCGTTTAGAGCCAAATAATTTAAATATTTTAAATTTTTATTTAAGAAATAAAAATCTGATATATTATTGAAAGTCATAGAACCAACATTGTTGTTAAGGCGTTGATAATGTCAAGAAGAATAGCTCGAAAAATCTCGTATACAATAATATGGATATTGTATATGCAGTTTTTGTTACACTACGTAGAGCCACATACCAATTCATCCTATTTTATTCACTCTCCTTTAAAATTTATTTTAGTGACGTAAGCAATGTTCTTTGTTAAGCGACGATTTTCAGTTCTTTTCAATTGTCGCGGTTGTACCCAATGGAAATGAAATTATTTTTGTTCTTTAGATAAACCGAAGTTTCGGGCTCTTTACAGGCGCCACGGTCACAGCTAACACCTAAAATCGTATATATTATCATTTCGAACACACCTGTCCTTGGTCTACCTGTTCAAACTTGTTCCTGACTCTGCATGCTCATGCGGGGCCTATGGGGACCTAAACCATATCTTCTTCTCCTGCCCCCAATTGACCACGATACTTTCATATCCGAACTCCTGGCAATCAGTGTCACACTCCCCACCGATAAAACAAATTTATTATATTTATGCAATAAAGATGTTTATAATGTACTGACCTTATTTATAGAAAATAATAATATCAAGGTTTAATATGTATGCCGATATATAATACCTACCCAACCTACCATATTCTTTTTCATCCAAATTCCGTACCCCTTCCATAATCTGTAATTCGGCTTTCTCAACCTTTTCATTAGCTAAATGCGAAGGCAAAGCCAAACTAAGGACAGGTCCCTAGACTATTAGACATAGGGTAAACTTGCCTAATTCGTACTTACGCCAAATTCGTAGGTACTCCACTTATAACTCGCCTTTGGTAACAGCTATCAGCGCCTCTAGTGTCACAAAATAGAAATAACTGTCGGCCATTTTACCACCTGACAGATAACACCTGTGACGCTGCTCTCGACAAAAATATTGAAAAAGTAAGTTTTTTTCAACTATTATTGTAATATTTTTACACATTTCGTAAGAGTTTTATTCAAATAAGACCGTGTATAACCTATTTTACGATTCGATACGTATTAATATGTGTCTTTGCGATTTCATATGACTTTTTATCATACTCGTAACTGTTGTCAATTTTTTTGGCGGTAAATTTAAAATTTGTTTGGCCCTTGCTCCTATTTCGTACTCGAGTTAAGTTCTTAAAATGTACTGGTACGATTTAGGAAAACTATTTATGAATCTGAATTTGATAATTTACCATTTCTTAAATTGTTTATTACAAGTTGTTTTATTAGATTTTTGATTGGAAAAATAACCACATAAAAACATATTAAACATAATTATTTTCTATTTTAGAACACCATGATAAAAAGAAAATATTATTCTTGGAGTAAAGAAGATATGGAAGAAGCGATTAGAAAATATAACAATGGGGACTTAAAATTCAACGAAGTTTGCCGTGTATTTAAAATACCGAAACCGACATTTAGACGACATTTAAAAGGCTTGAATACACGTAAAAGAATTGGACGTCCGAGTGATTTAACGGAGGAAATGGAAGCAGAACTAGTCAGACATGTTCTTTTGTTGGAATCTAGATTTTTCGGCTTGACCATTACCGATTTACGGCGCTTAGCTTATCAATTAGCAGAAAAATACGGACTGAAACACAGATTCAATAATGAATCGCAATTAGCTGGTTGGAAATGGTATTACACATTTATGAAGAATCATCCAGAAATATCCTTACGAACCCCAGAACCCACATCTATGGCTCGCTGTAAAGGATTTAACAAAGAAATGGTGATGGCGTTCTTCAACAAATATGAGTCCATCTTAGACGAAGGTCAATTTACAGCCGAAAAAATTTACAATATGGATGAGACAGGATTGAGCACAGTTCATAAGCCTTCAAAAATTTTGGCTCAAAAAGGGAAACACCAGGTTGGAGCTGTCACGGTGTAGCGGTGAACGTGGTGTTAACACAACATGCATTTGTTGTATGAACGCAGCTGGAGAATTTGTGCCTCCCATGCTGATATTTAAACGTAAAAGGATGACAGAGAGCTTGATGCGAGGAGGGCCATCGAATACTTTGTATGATTGTTCAGAAAGCGGTTGGATCGTCAGCATCTTATTTACCAAATGGCTTAAACATTTTATAAAATGTCTAAGACTGCAAAAATCGCAAGAAAATCAAATTCTTCTCATCCTAGATGGTCATTCGACGCACACGAAGAACATTGATGCAATTAATCTTGCTAGGGACTATGGAATAATTATGTTATCTCTTCCGGCCCATACCACACACAAGTTGCAACCATTAGATAGATCATTTTTTAAAACTCTAAAACAGAATTTTAACGCTGCCTGCGTGTCATGGATGCGAAATCATCCTGGATCTGTCATAAAACAAACAAATATTGCAGAAATTTTGAAAGAGGCTTATCTTCGAGCAGTTTGTATGGAAACTGGAATACATGGCTTCGAATGTTGCGGTTTATGGCCTTGCAATCGCTATAAGATCAGGGATGAGGAATATGTCATACTTGAAGAAGATAATCTTAGTCTTCCGGAATCTTCCCGCTCTGAATTGGCTGAAGTCTCCCAAAATTTAACAACTGAAATACAACAAGAACAAACAAGGGCTTTCACGGATGTGCCACAATCTAACGAGATTTCTGTGCAAGAACAGACTGAGGAAGCTATGCCCCCAAATCTTCTTGAGATATCGAGAATCCACCCTTTGGAACAGCAAGATCAATGTCTAGAAGAGAAAAAGAAAGAATGTTCTTCAGAGACGAAAGTAGAGGATTTTAAAGCACAGTCCGTTAGAACGACCCTCGAAACTATATCTCCATTACGGGCTATTCCTGGAAATTCAAGGCCACTGAAAAGAAAAACTACAGGTGCTATTATTATAACAGAAAGTCCTTATAAAAAAGAGCTAGAGGGTAAAATAGAAGAGTCGAAGAAGAAGAATGTATCGAAGAATCTAAGTGCTATGAAAACTAAAACACAAAAGGAAAATAAGAAAAAGAAACAAGAAAAAGATGAAAATGGCAGTTGGTACTGCACATTGTGTCAAGAAGATCTTAAAGAAACCATGATCCAGTGCACACAATGTGAGATGTGGGTACATGAACTTTGTGCAGGAACTAATAAAAAAACCAAAGATTATAACTGCGATGATTGCCGAGAATTGGCGAAACCCATCCGCAGAATTTTTTAATAACGTTTAATGTTTTAATTTTTGATTGTGATGCTGATTCTCAATGACTAGATCTCAAAGTACGAATTAAGAATATAGCAGTACGATTTGGGATGAATGGTCTTAAATCGTACTTTTTTAGTTTTTTTTTTATTGTTTATTTCTGAGAAGTTTATAAGGTTTATGTTAAATTTGATTATAGAAACAATAAAGTATTTAACAAACTTTTATTTAAAACTAACTTATCATTCCTAGTTTTCTAAATATGATGGTTTTCTCTTAACGGGTACGAATTAGGCAAGTTTACCTTAAGCGGTTATTAATTGCCAATAATAATATGTATACAATATGTTACCAGGCAAAGTTGCAAGAGACATACAGTATGGATATAATCTCAGTACAGAGCACTAAAAAAACCGTCCTCAAAAGTACGTGGAATTACATCTATATGCCAAGTTTTATTAAAATCGGTTACCGGAAAGTGCGTGAAATCGTATTCATTCCCTAGTTTGCCACCATTAGAGGTGGAATATGTTATTTAAATTTAAATGGGACCACTAACGAGGTACCCTCTTTCTAAAAAAAAAATAATCATCAAAATCGGTTCATAGATGTCGGAGTTATCGCGTAAGATATATAAAAAAAATACAGACGAATTGAGACCCTCCTCCGTTTTTGAAGTTGGTTAAATTCGACTTAATTATCTGTTAGTACTGTTAATATGTCCGAGTCTCACGGTAGTTTTCTATTTAAAAGAGTTGTTAAGCTGTCAAAAATTAAAAAAACTCGCGTCAAAGGTCAATTCAAAACAAAACAGTTTCGAATTGACAAAATTAAGTAAACACTTTTATTTTCGTTTTATTAAAACTTTTTAATCAGCTAGCTCTTGCAATACTAGTTATAAATCTAAAAACTTATAGATGCGACTCGCATTTGATTATATTTTTTTCTATAATGAATTGTGATTTGACGTCACTATTGTAATCTGTCAAAACGGCCACCACAGCATACTACTGTAATTGCAAATCAAATTCAATTTTAAATGAAAATTATGTTTTGAGTAACAATATTTAATCGAAATAAATGCGTTGCTCGTGTTCATAGAGTTAGTGCGATGCCACACGGGCGCTGCCGGTGTATCGTGTCGTCGCAACGCAGTGATTTCAATGCACCGAGTGCCACACGAGCAATGCGGTGTCACAACGTAACGCGCCACTAACTTACACATCGCACCACTTCTCACCATTTCGTGTCCAGGCCTCTTGTCCAATGTGCACACGTTCCGTCGCGCCGCGCGCCATTTCAATGTGGCATCTAGTTCTAATTTATAAGAGTATGTACGCAGCGTTGCAACGCCGACGAAACACATCATGATGCATCGTTACGGAATTAGATAATTATGTGCATCCTAATTTGAAACTTATTATTAAGTTACATTATTCTGTCGCCGTTCCTTGTTATCAATATCACCATCATAAGATAGCTCTAGTGTAATGATTAGTCATTAAAATGTACTAACCAAATACCTCTGAATACATAAAATTAAACATTAATACAACATTTTCTTCTCCAGGTACAACAAACAAAGGAGCAATGTCCAAGTGGCGGACGGCAAAGAATAAAATATAATCCTTTCCAAACTGTAAAAACCACGTCAACAAAATGGAGAAGACCACAAAGGCTGCGAAGCCACAAATTTCCACCGTGATGGATGCTTACAGCTCCAAGTAAGTGGCAATATGACCTCATCAAGTCGTGAATTCATCACGGAATATTTCTCAGGAACAATTTTATATTTGTTATGTCAATTGTAGGCAAAAAATAACGAACTGGTAACATAAACTTACAATAATTCATATTTAGGTAGAGTTACAGTTTCTGTCTAAAAACAATCTATCTAGATACTCTATGATTTTTTAGCCGAGTCACTGAGCCGTATTATCATTGCTTTCTCTCCATATTTACATGCCGTCAGAATTGTTCCACATGTTCATAATAATATACATAGATCTTGTTCATAGCTCTGTGAATGAGTCTATTCATATGTTAAAATGGAAACGTAAATATATTAATAAGGTAATTAATGTGATTCGCTTTTGACAGCTGAGTAAGGTCGTACGCCTTACTTCAGTTACCACAGTCAGTGAGGAGGAAACTATAAAAATGCCATTATTATTATTTACATAGCCTTGGCGTTATGTATCTAATTGTTACTCAATGTCTTAATAAAAAAACTTGTTGAAAGTCTCTTGTGCAGCGCGATATAAGTCTGCGTGTATAAAATCAGAGGAGACGCGGTAAAAACTGTTTTGCGAGATTTTACTAATAGTAAAGCTCATTGTGATAGAGTTCGTCCAGGGAAGTACTGCCACCTTACTTATTTCTGCCGCCAAGCAGTAGATAATATGAGCGTTATTGAGTTCCTATATGGAAGGGTAAGAGTCTTGAGAATTACAGGCACATGAGTCTTGTCAACTTATGTCTCAGGGTGACGGACGTAGTAGCAGCGCCCCTAAGATTTTTGCAATTTAAAGCTCTGAGTAGCACTGCAACCGTTATAGACAGGCATGTCGCTTATCACCGGGCACACGACTTGTTCGTTCCGTCACTTGGTATTATAATAAAATATATTAATTTCGAAATGAACAAATAACAATATACACAACTTGATTCTGAAACCTTATTTAAGCAAATCAGGTACAGTTAATGAATTTCATTAAAACGTGTACGATTTATTTTTACAATTCGAAAAATAATTATCCATTGTCTGTTGTAAGGATTCAGTGGTTTGTAACCTACCAGTAAATTTTCTTTTAATAACTCTCCTCATCAAACGTAACGTTTCACGTGTTTTAAGTATTCCTATAATATTTAGAAAATAAACACTAACTGAGTACTTACCTGCTAAAATTCAAGAAATAAGTCTGCTAGATGAACCGTAAAGATTTTAAAATAAAATTTTTTTTCGGGTATATTTGTATTTTCAAACAAGCCAACAATAGATTTAGTGCGGTGCATTGCATAGCCGTTGCGACACCCGCCTGAGCGGTGACGTTGCGTTGTACTACATATAAATTAGAACTAGACGCCACAGGGTGCATTGTAACCACAGAACCAATAAATATAATAGAAGTGGTTACTTAGCATCGCATGCGTGCCAACAGTATGCCTAGTGAGGACTACTTGAGCTTAGTCCGCCATTTTCGCTTCGTACGGTATGGTTGTGTCAATTCAATTTTCAAAAAAAATTTCGCACAAATTCTGTAAAATCGTAGAAAAGTGCCTTTCTTTTTTCCGTGGTTGAAACGGAACGCATGTGCTTCATACATTCTACTATGGTACAAGCGACTAGGAGAAGAAGTGGGGAGGAGTGCTACAGTGCCTAAGTAGGCGTCGTTACGTATGCGACAACGCAGAGCATCGGCAACGCCTGTGTGGCGTCGCTCTTACAGGCTTCATAGTTACGGTTTGTTAATCGATGTGTCAGTGGTGAAAATATAAAAATAATACACTAAATTTAGATCTTTTATAGACACTAAAATATATAAACTTGTAATTTAGGGGATTAGGGTTGTCGGTTGCCTTCGCAGTAGCAAAAATATAGACGGTTCAAAAGGTTGAACGAGAATAGATAGTGCACGGTCGTGCTTGATGGTCTTCACAGGAACCTTTATTTATTTATTTATTGTTCAAGAGTGATACAAAATATTGATAGACGTGACGGGCATAGCGCCCGTCACGTCTAGTGACCCTAGCTCTGAGCGACACTGCAACTGTAATGGACAAAAGCGTCGCTTACCGCCAGTATCTAGGTCACTATAATAATAATAAATTTATGTAAATTTTATTTACACTCTTTCATCAAACAAATGTTTATTTTCAAATTGATGGTATATTATAATAGTGAACAACCCTTTTGATTATTTATCTTCTGATTGTTTACTCTATGTTGGGTTAAATTTCGCCTACCTTCATCACCAACAAATGAAAGGTTTCTACTAAACGTGTTACGCAATAGTTGAAGTAACAGATTAGTTAATAAATAATTAATACGTAAGGGCTATTTATTACCTATGGACAGAATCTATGAGAAAGGTACATCTGTCGCGGCTTATTTGAATACGGTACTCGACATACTCCTATATGTAATAACATGTGGCTAGTAAATTCTATGCCCAATATAACAAAGTTGTTTTGACTGGCTCTCAGTGGACCATCGAGTATGTAACCAGAAATAGAGACGAAATGTCATTTAATTAAAATTTGCTTGAAAACTATTCTGCCAAATCATTACGATGACAACTGCGCTCCGATTGGCCAGCCCGAATTAAAAACAATTGACGAGTGTCGTCAATAGTTTCGCTTCAAATCGACCAGTTTAACTTGAGCTTTGCTATAATGGACGTAAATTGAAAAATTTCATATTTAATGTTTAATTATCGATGAAATGTGATGATTCCGTTTGTTTTTTTAAATAGATGTTTTGTTGTTTTTCCCACACCACCGAATTCTTTTTAACCGACTTAAAAAAAAGGAGGAGGTTCTCAATTCGTCTGTATATTTTTTTTGTATGTTTGTTACGCTATAACTCCAGTATTTGTGAACAGATTTTCATGATTATTTTTTGTTGGAAAAAGGGTACCTCCGTGGTGGTCCAACTACATTTTAAAGAAAATCATCCACGTCTAAAGGTAGCTGATCACGTATGAACATTCATTTTTATAAATAGCACCTACATTTTACTTAAGGAGCAATTATTTTAATGTTTGGTTTTGCTATTCTCCAATTCAAGGCGTTTTTCTCTCTCAATATACTTTGAGTAGTGAGAACCGATTTTTATTATCTCCTGTGTCAAGTTCTGTATAGTGGCGAATTTAAGGACATTTCAATAAAACTTGGCAAATAGATGTAATTCCACGTACTTTTGAGGTCGGTTTTTTTAGTGATCTGCACTGAGATTATTTACAATATACACATACATAATATTTTTGGAATATACGGAGATGTAAACACGGGTCAGTTGTTGGCGCTGTACTATTTCAGCTTTCTAATTTGCGACTTCACCGAAAACGAGAGTTGATATGTGAAACTGATATAAGGCCCATTTGCCTGAAGAGTTGCCAGAGACGGATGGCCCTTATTTCGTTGGCCTCTATTTCTGGTTATATACTGGATGCGGTGGTCCAACGGTTAGCTGTGTTAGCATAGAAACAATTAAGAATACGAACTTTCCTAATTTGCTTCTGAATGTTTTGGGTTGTAATTTGCTTCTGGATGTTTTGAGTTCTTAAACTTGGTGCGTTGCTCTGGTACTCATGCTAATGTGTATTCACTAGCTTTAGACCAGGGAACGGATGTAGATGTCCAGCATATTACAACAACAACATCAACAAATTTGTACATCCCACTGCTGGGCACTGGATCCTCTCAGGCGAGGGCTTAGGTCATGATCCGCCACGTAGCCTAATGCAGGTTGGAGACTTCAACGGTTGTGAACCTTCTTCGACGTGAAGATTTCATCACGTCGTTTTCGTCGTTGTCGTCACAAGTTTTACTGCAATTTGCACAATCGTAAACGCGCTGGATGGAAACAGATGGAGGCACAACGAGAAACGAATTATTTAAGATTAAATATCTATACTTGGTACATAAGTAAGAACTGAAGCTATAGTTATTAAATTTATTAGCGGTTTAACGACACGCCGCGCCTCCCGACGCTCCGTGAGTAGCCATCGGGCGCTTTTCAACGTCTATTCTTATTTTATTCATACTAATTTCCAACCTGCTAAATTTTGATTTTCAGCTGTAGTCCTATAGTTATTAAATGCACAATTATCCTAAAACTTGCAATTGTCCAGCGGTTTAATGAGTCGCCGCGCCACCCGCTCCCCGTCGTCACCATCAGGCGCTTGGCAATGTCGCATTTGTGTCAAATTTTCTCCGCCTGTTCTTATTTTATTTACAGCGCGCTGACTGCGCGACATCTCACCTTCTAAATCTAGGTTCGAGTTGAAATACGGCGCCTTAAGGTTTATCCACAATGTTTTCATACACAGTTAGCGACAAGTATCTCTACTAAGCACTCACATACGTCACATAGAACAGAAACTCATACATACAGTCAAGAGCCTATAAAGTTTGACGCTTGGACCTTTCTTATAGTAACCGTCATAGAGTTAAATTTAATTCTTAACGTATTGCCGCAGGTATTCGAGCCGTCAAACTTTCAGTTGAGTACGAGTTGTATTCCACTAGGCTACAACCGCTCTGCTTGCTAGTTCTCTTTTACTATTCTAGCTTAACAATGATATACAGGGTGTAATCGTTAAGTGTGCCCTGGTGATTATTCCGTAAATATAAAAGATGTCAAAAACTTTTAAATTGATATTGAAAGTATGTTCCCTAATGGTTAAAATGACATATTTCTTAAATCAAACTAGAAACATCCAAAATTGTAATTTTTAACGCTCCCATATATCAAAAATGACATTCGTAGAGAGGCTTTAGTTTCGAACAACTGCTATATACAATTTTGTAACTTATTTGAAAATAAACATCTCTTTGTTTTTATTCAATTAAAGATAGTTCTATTACTTTATTTATAGCAGTTTCGTTATCTGTACAATGTGACATGAAATGTTACTTTATTTTATCTTCACAAAACAGGCTTAAAGTAGGGAACTTAAGGTTAAAACCAAACAAAGATTGTTCAAACTGTTTTGTTAGA